CGAATAGTCACAATAAGAGAGTAAAACACAGGGATTTTGCCCCGGGCGATCTGGTTCTGAAAAGAAAGGTGGGGATGGTCAAAAAAATGATGCCACCCTGGGAAGGCCCATACAGAATTGCAGAAGTCATTGGCAAAGGGGCATATACGTTGGAAACCATGGCGGGAAAGTTGGTCAGCAAGCCCTGGAACGCCACGTCTCTGAAGAGGTACTATCAATAGAAGCTAAGTTCTGGTTTTAATTGGATGTTATTTGTTGTCAATCAAATACGTATGAATGAGCAAGTTACCGGAATTTACAAAAAAAGAAGAGAAGAATTTTCTTTTCCAATGGTCTACTATAAAAATTTAAAGCCAAGTGGCAAGTGGCATTCTAGCCGAGCGCCAGGCACTTAAGCAAGATAAGTGGCAGCTGGCACTATAAGCCGAACGCCAGACACTTGCTAAAAATTTAAAGCCAAGTGGCAAGTGGCATTTTAGCCGAGCGCCAGGCACTTAAGCAAGATAAGTGGCAGCTGGCACTATAAGCCGAACGCCAGACACTTGCTAAAAATTTAAAGCCAAGTGGCAAGTGGCATTCTAGCCGAGCGCCAGGCACTTAAGCAAGATAAGTGGCAGCTGGCACTATAAGCCGAACGCCAGACACTTGCTAAAAATTTAAAGCCAAGTGGCAAGTGGCATTCTAGCCGAGCGCCAGGCACTTAAGCAAGATAAGTGGCAGCTGGCACTATAAGCCGAACGCCAGACACTTGCTAAAAATTTAAAGCCAAGTGGCAAGTGGCATTCTAGCCGAGCGCCAGGCACTTAAGCAAGATAAGTGGCAGCTGGCACTATAAGCCGAACGCCAGACACTTGCTAAAAATTTAAAGCCAAGTGGCAAGTGGCATTCTAGCCGAGCGCCAGGCACTTGCCGTACAAACACACAGCAAAGCTAATATAAAAAGAAAAAGAGAGAAAAGATATATATGTACTGAAGATAAGTTGAACAGAGCACAACACATAGAGAAAAAGAGTTCGGCCATTTCATTAATATTGAACATTTAGTTTACAAAAGAGAGGTGTCCATCATTACAAGAAGATATGAACTGGAAGAATTCGAAGGAGCCCTAGCTAGACGCCTCAGTACCAACAGCATCCTGGTCCTGCCGACTCGCCTCCTCGGCCCCATCAGCCGCCTCACCTTCATGAGGTGGGGAATCCAGGTGAATAACTGAGTCGTTCGGCTGGGGTTCAGCGTCAGCAGTGGCTACAGAGGGAGCCACGGTTGACGATTGGGGAGCGGTCAGTGGCAGAGCGGTAGGAGGAGCTGTGATGATCCTTGAGGATGCGATGTCCTGGCACTCATCAAATATACGCTCCGCTTCGGTGGGTTCTGGGTCGACATAGACCCCCAGAGGCTCGATCCCCAGATCCTTGTCTACCTCATCCGGAGTGGAGCTGGTCTGTCCCTCATCCGGAACCCGGTCGGCGAAACCTTCCCGGAATCCTTGAGCATACCGAAGAGCACCGACCCTGGAGAACCGAGCATGAAGGGCCAGCATCCCACCACCCACTCTGCTGATAGCGTCGATCAGAGCGGTACGCTCGTCCAGAGCTCTTTTTTCAAAAGCCATCCGAGCAGACTGTTCATCAGCTAGAAGACGTTGGAGTTCTGCCTTCTCTTCTCTGAGTGATTCCTGCTCAGTCTGCCAGACGCTCTTCTCGAGCTGGAGGGCGTCCTTCTCATCCTGAAGGGAATCATTCTCCTTTTTCAGGACATCTCTCTCTTGCTCGGCTTTGTCAAGCCGAACCAGCACCTCGGTATTCTTCATGGCAAGGAGGTCGTTCTCTTTATTAGCCACCTCCAGGCTGTCAGAATACTTTCGGGCCCTGGCGTTCCCCATTTCCACCTGCTTCTGCATGGCCATCATCCCGAACAATGTCTGCATAGGTGCACAATAAGAACGGTTAAACCAATAGTCAGAACGGGCGAAGGCAAGACCAAGTAATATAAGAGAATTCATGAGTTAGAAAATAAAAGTCACCTCCATAGCAGATTGGGGAAAGCGACTGAACACGTCCTTTTGGGAAAGGCCCTTTGCCGCCTCAATGTCCTTCGGAGTCCACATGCTCCTGTAGTAGGCCATAGCGGTCTGGCCATCCTTCAGCATGGTCTCGTTCGGTTTCACGAACGTCCCATCCGTTCGAGTGTACCGAGGGGCCCATGGCGGCAAGCTAGGGATAGAAGGGGGGCCTGAAGCAGAAGCAGAGCCACCAGCTGCAGGAGGCCCAGAGTGAGAAGGAGCTCTGATCGCTCGGTGCAAGAGAGTACCCGGCCCAGAGACTCGGGTCCTTCTAATAAGAGGCTCCTCCTCAGGGTCGATTTCACTGTCAGGATGAGGCCTTTTGCCTCGTTCTTTGTCCCGACCGCCCCCCGCAGCAGCAGGAGCTATGGTAGCTGGGGAGGGCGCGTTCTGGTTGGCCGCAGGGGCGCTGGCAGCAGGGTTAGTAGCCACTGCGCTCGGGACAGTGTCAGATATGGTGGCTGAAGAAGAAGCCGACGCTGGAGAGGAGGTCGCCCCAGCAGCAGGAATGACTGGGGGAGTATTTTTCCTCCTGCCAAAAGAGGGAATCTGCAGTCTGCTCATATTGTAGCCGAGTGATGAGAGCGCAAAGAGGTTGTCTGAAGTGAGGAGATCTGAGCAGGAAGGAATATCGTTCAGAACGTATCTCTTCAAGTAGTTAATCCTATCCCTGCAAACACTGTAGCTCAAGTCATCACAAGGTATTCCCAAGGAGCGGCATAAGTAAGTGCAAAAACGAGGAACGCATGTTTCACAGGGGCAGTCGTGTTTATGGGATTTGAATTTTTTATAGGAGGAGACAGAGCAGACACCAAAGGCGCTCGGGATTGGGTAATCCTCTGCAGCCGGCGAAGACCAAGCCCCACTAATACCCACTATGCTATCCCTCCAACCCTTTTCAGATTTTATTGTGTCAGTGCATATGGACATCTTCTCGAACGGGTAGAGGTGGTAGAAGGGCTCGTTAGTACGGATCTTACTGACCTTATAGCACAGAAGGAGGTCTATGAGGTCAAGGTCCAGATTTCTGTCACGCATCAATAAGAGCATAACAGATATGATCCTAAAGAAGTTGGGGTTGACCTGCAGAGGGGATATCCCCAATCTGTTGAAGACGTAACTAAAGAAAGGGTGCAGAGGGAACCTAACAACATTCAGTTGAAGGTTTGTGAATAAGACTTCGCCGGGCAGGAGGCCGGCGCCGGTCGTAATATTAACGTCTTGGGGGCAAACCCTAACTACGATGTTGTCAGGAAGTCTAAGTCTCATACGAAGAACACCCAGATCTACAACCATGGTGGAAGTGCAAGAAGAATCTAAAAGAGGGAAAATGGAAGCCTGCCGAAAGTAAAAAGAACGAAACTAACCTCGGAGGACTGCAAGATCGCTGGGAGAATGACTCTCGAAGGATTTCACCGGAAAAGGCTTAGCACAGTTCTAGAAAGAGGGAGATTTGGCTGATGATGGAGACGGTAAAGGGAAGTGAAGTGGAATTCTAGAGCATTATATAGGCAAGGGGGCCCGAGGGCCGAAGCGTCGGGAAGGCAAGAAATCCCTCGAACCCCGGAACATTGATTCTGGATCTGACCGTTCGCTCCCCCACGTGGTTATCTCGAGCCGTCAGCGTCATGATGAGACGCCATCAATAATTACCCCTTATTAAATAAGGGGCAATTATGGGGGCAGTTGAGGAGGCCCTGGATGACATGGGCCGGGTCCGACTCGCAAAACACAACCTTCAGTCCGAACAGCTGGGTCAGCCCATAGAAAGACACTGCCATATGGGCCGAGCGGGAGTAAGCCCATCAAGAGTGACCAGGGCTTACTGAGGAATAGGCCCAGGTCCAGCAATTAGTAAATATCTTGTAAATATCTTGTAAATATCTGGTAAGTATCTATAAATAGGAGTTGGAATGAAGAGGAGGGGGATCTTGATTCGGGTTGAGGTGTAAGAATTCTAGAGAGAGAAAGAATAGAAGGAGTTTCTTGCATCTTCAATAGTAAAAATAATTTAAAACTTTATTTTTTCTCCTTTCCGAATGAATCAAGTAAATTTTATTTTACTATTTCATTCAACCTAACAAAAAGAGAGAAATACAGTTATCTATTCTCTGAGATGTTTCATCTAGGGGTGCAATTGGGTTAGGTAACCTGAACCCAACTTGAGCCCAGCCCGACTTTTCACGGGTTTGATCAATCATTTTTACAGTTAATGTTAGGCTTGGGTTGAAAAATCTCCACCCAAATTTAATTAAGGTTGGACTTGGGATGAAGTGCTAGCAATCCAAGTTAACCCGAACCCGAATTCTAATATTATTTTCATATACATATTTACTTTTAAATACATTATATATAATATTTAAACTATGATTACTTTTTTTCCTTTCAATTTCTTTTGTTAAATCTTAACTTATTGTATGTTAACATTTAGGATAATTAATTTTCTAAAAATTTGTTTGTAATTTATTAAAAATCTATAAAAAAAATTTAAAACTTTTTCTTGTTTAAGAATAATTTAATCTAAAACTAATTCAAGATCATATTAAATTTTCGGTATAAGAATTAGTCATATGAGTACCATGAATTAATCCGAAATTTTTATTCGAAATCTAAACCCGAGTTGCAAGTCCGAATTTAAAAGTAAAAAGATGGATTGTGCTTGGATTGAGTAATTAAAATTGAGTGAGTTGAACTCAAGTTATACCTCAAACTCGTCCAATCCGCCTGAGTTGTAGCCCTAGACTTTCATCTATCCTTTATTTTTTTCATTCTACGAAGCATAAAATTAATTCAGATCACGAATAAAACTCATTTTCGAGTAAGCAAGAACCGTTTGAACCGGGTTAGCGTAGGCCGGAAAGTAAAACCTTCCCGGTTCGCTGCTCAATCCGAGTATTCATATAAAACCCTAACTTCAAGGGTTCCAACTTCCATTCACAGTTCCCTCTCTTTTGCGAGACGAACTGAAGGAAGGCAAGGCTCAATCGAGATCGAGAGCAATCACAATAGTCTGTGACCTAGTGAAACCGTAAGCCATCTTACATGTCTCTCTCTCTATATATATCACACACTTTCTATATATGTATATATATACGCACAAATGCACGTGTATGTGTGTTGCAGTATCAAAATCTTAATTTTCTCTGTTGTCGTCCTCGAAGCTCTTTTTGCACAATCAGAATTGAGCTAGGAATAAAAAATGATTGTAGATGGAATCTGTATTAGAGGATGACGTGATGCAATACTATGATTTTGTATTTGCGTTTTCGTTTGCAAATCTACCAATTTGATTTTATTGTAATTTGATTTTATTGTGGTTGTACTTCTATTGGGTTGTTCAATTTACTTTAGTCAATGTAGTTATTTCATTTACTTGATACATCTCCATATTGTCCATTTCATTTACTTGATACATCTCCATATTGTCCTTACATTTACTTAGTATTTATCGGTTAAAGCAATTAAAAAGGATAAAAAACTGTGTAGAGCTGGTGATCTAGAAGATGTTTTCTGACTTTATAGTTTCAAAAGCACGGTCACAGACCAAAATTTCCCTAATTCAACAAAAAGAATAATCATACAAACTGCGAAACAAGAATTTTGCTATTTCACAATAATCAACTTACTCAACGAAACCAAATCAAACCTTGGTTCCAACTTCAAAATCCATGCATTAGCGGACGAAATCCTTGACATGCGTCCTCATTAAAACATTCCGGGTTTTCAAATACCAAATCTGAACCACAAACTAGACATTCCAAACCTAATCGCGAGATCTAGCATATTCCTTTCAAAAGTAAATTTGTACAGGCATTGGGAGTAGGGCAGCAAACAAAGTGAGCCGAGCCGAGTTGAGCTTTAGAAGGTTTGAGCTTGGCTTGCCAAAGCAAGGGAGGTGCTCGTGCTCGTCTTGTGGTAGAATGAGCTTGACTCGTTAGTAATCTAGCAAGCTTGGGCTCTGCTCGAGCTTTTTATTTATTATTTTTTTTTTATACACATATAATCTCAATTAAGATGTAATATGTTATAGGAAAGTTATTTTGTATACTATACAGAAGTTCATAATTTTGATGTCAATTTCATATACATGCACACACAGATTATAAATACACGCACACCTGCACCTATATATCCAAAGAAATTCTTGTATAGAATTACATATATAAATACCTGAAAGTTGGAAATTTTTTTGGATCCTCCACCTTTCTCCATTTGTCCATCACATCTCCCCTAGGAAAATGCAAATGACTGTCATCAGTATTAGGATATCAGGAATGAGAGATGAAGGACTGGAGGTAGAAGGCTGTTGTTGGCTGCCAGAGAAGCGACATATACAAATGAGGAGAGGGGCCAAAGCACAACAGATGACAACGGGATAGGATTATGACTTCTTAGTTGTGGATGCATAGGGTCTTTAGTTGGATTGGTGAAAGAAACATAGGCCATTTTTGTTGGGCTTGTAATTGTATTTACAATATCTTTAACATATGGGCTTATATATGTGATTTTAATGAGTCTTTTTTATTTTTATTTGACTAATCTTATACTAAAATAAAACCAATCGTGAGCAGACAAGCTTGATCACGAGCCAGCAAGTTGAGCAGAACATTGTTTGAGATTGGCTCATTTATTCAACAAGCTCAAAATTTGAGCTTGAACTCGGCTTGTTTAAGTTCAAGTTGAGCTTCTAATGAGCCTAGGCTGAGCTGTTCATGAATAGTTTGGCTTATTTGTATCCCTACTTGAGGGTCACTGCTTGATGCAATGGCAACAACTCAAAATTGACAAGCACTGAGATGCAAAATCTAGTTTGAGAGCAGTAACTTTATGCAATCATTTAGTTCACACCAATAGAGAACTCAATTTTGCAAAGATATTAAGGTAAACAAAGTATTAAAATTGTAGATGGGTTTAACCTTTTTTTCTCCTTTCTGGGTGTGGTGGCATTAGGGACACCATAAGGGCATATGATACACGAAACATTAGAAATTTAGAGTACTCTTGTCAATAGTGGTTCTTTTGTTACTTAAAAAAAAAAAAAAAAAAAAAAAAAAAAAAATTTAGTGGTTCTTTTGTTGGCTAAAGTCAGTAAAGTTTTATTAATGTAGAATATATAATGGTTCATAGATGGATTTTCAGTTGGAATATAAGAGGTTTGGCAGCTACAATTATTTTTTCATTGTCTCACTAGATTTTATGGACATACAAATAAAGGGCATTACCCAGGCAGGGTTGGGAGGGATATAACTCAAGTCAAACCCAACTTTTGGTATTTCACAAAGTGTTTACTTTTAGGCTTGAACTCGCTTTTACGGCTAAATAATATAGTACAGTATTTTATACACTCAAGAAAACTTGTCAGGCAACTAAAAAGTATAAATGAACATTACTATCCATTTTGGTAAACAAAAAGTGACTTAAAATGTAAACATATGCTTTTTTTTTTTTAAAAAATAAATGTAACTGTAGCAGAGTCTTGTGATGTGCAGAATGAAAGAAAACATTATTTGATCAAGTTAATCAATTAATTTTTGACCTTTATCATCGATTAAGCAGTTCATAGTACATGAAATATTTCGATAAAGGATCATGCATAATCATGTCAACTCTGTGCTACGAAGTGGGGTCAACATCAATGTTAGCAATGCACCACAAGATGGGTCCATCCCCCCTCGCAACACTTTGTATTTTTATGGTGACCTTATTTCTATTCATTTATATCCAAGACGAGTTAGGATGTTCTAAAATTTAGAGAAGATAAAAAATAGATGAAAACTTAAGTTGCTGCTGTCTAACCTGCATTGACCACTGCGGCTTTATAACCTGCATTGACCATTTTGGGTATGTTGCGTAAAGAAGGAACATATCTCAAGCATCAATATTTCGCCAATGAAATACCTTTTTGGAAAACTGTTGTGCTCTAATTGTTGATTGGTCTGTTCAGTAAATGGGGTTTCTGGTGAGTAGGAGTGAAATACTTATTTTTCTTTATTCTTGTAAACCTGGTCATGAATATTCAACTCATTCTCTAAACATTCTTTTCAGGAATAGCTGTTTTGTTCAGGTTTGCTATAGTTTCTGTGAAGATGTCAGTTCAGTTAACTCCTTCCAAGAGACCACATGATCGTAGCGTTAAAGAGCCAAATGGTAAAAGGAAGTGGCAAAAATCAGCAGGTTCTATTTCACAGAATGTACCATTGAAAATCTCTCCTGGCAGCGCGGCTTTCCGTGTGCTCTGCCCTGCTTCCAAGATTGGTGGTGTTATTGGAAAAGGTGGCCGCATCATATCACAAATACGTCGAGAAACTGGTGCAAAGGTCAAAGTTGAGGAAAATGTCCGCGGAAGTGATGAGAGAGTAATCGTTATTATGGGTTCTGACAAAGAGAATGAAGTTGACAGTGAGCGGAGCAATGAGGATGCTGAAGAGACTAATACAGCTGAAGAGGTTGATGATGCAAAAGAACGTGGTGAGGATGATGAAGATAAGCAATCTGTTCCTGTAGAAAATTTGCGATCTGATAAAGGAACTTCATCTGTTGAGAAGGCTCTCTTTCTTGTTTTTGAAAGAATAGTTGAAGGAGAATTAGAGACGGACGGAGGGGATAAAGAAAGTGATAGGTCTTCAACATTTGTTTTGAGGTTACTTGTGCTCTCTAGTCAAGTGGGCTGCCTTCTAGGAAAAGGTGGCAGCGTAATCAAGCAAATGTCATCTGAAAGTGGGGCACAGATTCGGATTCTTCCCAGGGACAAACTACCTTCATGTGCATCTCCTGCTGATGAACTGGTTCAGGTAATTTTGTTTTCTGCACCCTCAAGATCAAATATCATTCATTGTTTGCAATGTGATCAGCATTAATTACCTGTGTTTCAATTATTTATGTTATTATTGTGTTTCATTTTTTATGTTGCTCTGATATGCAAATGTTATCAATAACTCGAGAAAATGCCGTAGTGATGAATTGGGTTCCAATGGCAATTCCAGCTACATCATCACCACCACCGACAAAAAGGGAGGGGGACTCTTTGTAGTCCTCTAGGTTCTGAAAATAATACCCGTTGTTAAATATGAGAACTCGGTATTTTTTGCTAATTGCTACTACTTTGTTCATGATCCACCTGCAAGATGGGAACATGATCAAAATATAGAAAACGGAAACCAATCACTTATGCACTTTTAACCTTTTAGGTTGACCAGCTGCCTGCTTGGGCTGACTGCTCGTTAACATTGTTTTGAGATCCTCACCTCGTTGTGGCCTTGTTCTTAGTCTTACAAGCTTTAGTCTCCCAGAGGATATTTAAGTGTACAACTAAGCTACACTGGCCTCATCATATATGTGATTGTTGTTTGTGGGCATCTTTTATATTTATAATGCTGTTGCATAAGGTTTTATGTGCCTTTGTATTTCATTTTATTTTTTGCAGGTTACTGGTGCACCAGATGCAGTTCGGAAAGCGCTTCAATCTGTTTCTCAACAACTTCTAGAGAATCCACCTCGCGACAATGACACGTTTTCTGGCAATCCTAGTGGTCCATCCTCTCATTCCCATGGCAATCCTCTTTCTAGGTCAGAAGTACACCCACCACCAAATTATCCTTTCCCTGCTCAAGGAGCACCTTATGGTACTGGGCCCCGTAATGGTGCTGATTACCATTTAACTACCCCGCCACTGATATCTAAATTTCATGAAAGTGGCATTCCCGGCCGTGTAAATTTATCTCCAGATATCCTAACCTTTCGGTTAGTGTGTCATGATGAGGTGGTCGGTGGTGTAATTGGAAAGGGCGGAACCATAGTTAAATCACTTCAGCATGAGACTGGCTGTGAGATCAAAGTTCTGGATGGTGTATCTGATTCAGAGGACCGCATTATTGTCATATCTGGTCCAGTGGTATAGTTTGACACTTTGATCTTGCTTAGATATGCTGAGGTTTCTTGTTGTGTATTCTCTTGCTCACCAATTTTAGTTATTGATACAAGCCAAAGTATGTCAATGCTGACAATAAAATTAAACTAATGCAGCACCCGGATGATGGGGTATCTGCCCCACAAGATGCAGTTCTTCGTGTGCAGTCCAGGATATTTAGGGCTTCATCTGATAGCAAGGAGAAACCTATAGCAAAAATTCTTGTCTCCTCCAATCAAATTGGTTGCCTTCTTGGCAAGGGAGGTAGTGTTATAGCCGAGATGAGGAAGTCAACTGGGGCTCATATTCGTATATTGGGGAAGGATCAGCTCCCTAAGGGTGCTTCAGAAAACGAAGAACTAGTTCAGGTGTGTTCTTACATGTGCAGGTCCTTAGAGTGTGCTTCTATGTAAACATGATGAGGCTAAAAATGTTATAAATACCTAATTACCATTATAATATTGTTGGTTACTTGATTGAATTATAATTCATTTTAAATTTACGTTCCTAGTTTAGTATGACCATGTAATGTAGAATTTTTGCTTGTGTATTGGTTTCTCCGTGCTGTGTCTCTTATACTTACGAGAAATCTATTATGACAGATAAATGGGGAATTTGAAACAGTTCAAGAGGCTCTTATGCAGATAACAACTAGGTTGCGGAATCATTTCTTCCGTGATGCATTTCCTTCTATCAATTTTCCTTCAAACCCTGCCTTTCCAGATCAAGTATCTTCATTTCCTTCATACATGGGAAGAAGGGAATTTTCACCTCCAGGAATGTTTTCCAATCGAGGCCTATCATTTCACAAGTTTGACGCTGTTGGTGGCCTGCCTCCACATGGTGCTTTCCACCTACACGATGAGCGCCCTTTTATGCACAATATTCATGGACCAGGCTTCCCCCCTCATATATCTGAAAGAACATCTTCAGCTCCGTGGGGTCCTCAGGTTCAACCTGTTAATATGTTTCTTTTGGAGCTAAATTTACAAGTTCTGACTATTAGCCAATACATGTATCTCTTAAGTGCTTCTATTTGGTTTCTATTTCAAGTTATGACCATATTCTCCTTGGGTTAATGGTTGCATTCGGAAACATCTTTTGGGACAGGATGAGAATGTTGTGCAATTTATGGACTATAAAGAAGCAATTAATCTGGTGTTTTTTTATTTGAATTGTCATGAATTTAGTTGTGCTTTCAAAACTGTTTTTTAGGGGCTAATTGAAGGTGGTGGTCCAATAGGCTTGCCGGACTATGCAGGAGCTCCCCAACGAAGAATTGGACTTGGAGGGTTCGTACTCCTTAGACTTGTATATGTTTTTGATTTATTACTGTCCCTGATATTTAATGTTAGCTGAAGGAATTACCATCATTCTAATTATACATATGTTTGTGTGTGCGTATATATATGCAGGGTAAGTCATCAGGCTATTATCACAAACACCACTGTGGAAGTTGTCGTTCCTCGTTCTCTTGTTCCTGCAATTTATGGAGAGGATGGTGGATGCCTGCAGCAAATTCGTGAGGTATACCTTTTGACATGATAATCTCTCTCTCTCTCTCTCTCTCTCGTGCGCTGTCAAGCACTCGCAGTCCCACATCGGACATGAACTGGATGGTTCTGGGCATATAAGCCGGTACGGCCCTTCTTCCCATCAAATGTGGCTTTTGGGTTGGAAATTAATCCATGATACATGGTATCAAAGCCAGCCCACAGCGCCACACAGCGGCATTGGTCCCCTGTTGCATGTGCCTCATGCGGAGGTGTGGGTCCCCCTTGCAAGGGAGCAATGGACCTGACAGGAGAGCCTGTCATGGATCAGAATCCCTCGGACATGCACTGGAATGGTCCTGGGCATCCGGTATGGCCCCTCCCATCAGCTGTGGCTTTTGGGTTGGAAACCAACCTGTGACAGCACGCTTGAAAAGAGAATATCTTTCAATTAATAGCTTCTTGTACATTTGGGGAAGCAACGCCTCTAATGTATTTTAATATAGTAAATTTATTCTAACTGTGTTTCTTATGAAATGCATATTGGAGTGTTTGTTCTGTTGTACTTGGCTAATCCATCAGCTGCTGTAGTGGCTTGTTTATTTAGATAGTGGTAATTGAATTCATTGTAACTTCTGGGTTTCTGCAGTCTTGTGTTTGTTCCTCTGCATATGTTATCGGTAATATTACATTGAACAACCTTCAATATCAAGGTTACAACCGTAGTCACACAATTCGCGTCTGAGGGTCACGCTCCCAAGCTCCGCACGCAGATCGGCAGATTGGGAGCGAAATCGTGCAAAATTCGCGAACTTGTTTTTCTCAGTTTGCAAACTCGTTTTTCTGAATTTGCGAACTCGTTTTCTGATTCACGAATTCAATTCTTGAAACTGCATGATCATATTTGTTCTTCTCTTGTGGCTCTTGCCCCTTTACTAGACCGATTTGGGCTTTCTTGCAGTCCAAATGCAGATTTCAGGTCGCTCATCTTCCTTGGCAGAACTTCATCAATTGAGCATCGCACCACTGGAGAGGTCAAAATATGCAGAATTCAACTAACAAACTAGTCGTTTTCACCGTTATCAATTGGATCTGTCTTCACAAGGAGACTCATCCACCGGAGCAGGATTGAGCGTTGGAGGCTTTTCCTCTCTCGTCTGGAATGTTGTTTAGTAACTTTAGTTGACTGAACCAATTATAGCCTAGGGTTTTCTAGACTATATAATACTGTAATTGTCTTTGTCTCTTAGACCAACCGTGGATTGGGGTGGGCTTTTGGCATGACCATCTGGGTTTTGGGTTGGGCTTTAGGCACAGCCCTTTGTTTTTGTTCATATTTTGGCTGGGCTTTGCCCTGTGTATATTTTTAATTCATCAATACATTACAGGCTTTACAGCTTATCTTCCAGTATATATATATATATATATTTTATATTTTAAAGATGTTAGACTTTATATTGCACACAATTATTTAATATATTTACTACTCCATAAAATTTATTTAATCAAAGTAATAATAACTAAAAATTTGATTATTTTTGAATAATTTCAGAATAAAAATAACAAAATATAATATTTAATAATTAAAAATGATAATATGTTAAGTGAAATAATTACATAAAAATAAATATACAGACGCTCTCACAGCGCTCCCGCTCTCAACTAATTTTAGATTTTGCCGCTCTTCCGCTCCCGCTCTTGCTTCCGCATTATGCGACTTAGGTTACAACACTGTCTTGAAAGTGTTTCTTCAAATATCTTGTTGAAACACTGTTACCACTTACCCCGGAACCTTGTGAAGTTTATTTTTTGTAGGATAAATGGTTCCTTTTTGGTAACAAGGAACTGTTCTAACTAGACGACCCATGTTTAGGACGGATGTTGTTACCATTGAATGAATGCTAATTTTTACCTGATTTGCTTTTTGCACTCGAAGATCTTTCTGGAAAATGCTGAGAGCTAGAATTCTGACGAGCTCTGCTAACAGCATGGTTGAAACCCAAAATATATACTGTCAAGCCCCCAAAATTCAAATACAGGGTCATCTAGCCCCTACACAATTACACTTAAAGTTAGTGCATGACCTCAATTCAACTCCCATTTCCATCCACCAAAATATATTAAATAAATAATATCTCCAATATGAAATATCAGTCATTATTATGAATTCCACAATAAACCAACATCAACCAACAAAATCTCATCTCTATTACATGGCCATCCTCACTACGTAATCGCTTATGCCAGGAAAAAAACTAAAATAGCAAAAATGGTAAACTAAATGTTTCTAGATCATTGTGTGTCTTCTCCACGTACCAACTCGGTGTGTACTTGAAATGTTAGAAAGGAGAGGTGTGAGCTTGGGAAAGCCCAGTAAGTAACTTTCTAGCTAACTGACAAAAATCCTATACCTCAGTAGTTAATATATTTATATTAAAACATTAATTATTTAAATAGAACAATTTATTAGTTCTATTATTAATGAATATGGTGACAAGAATATGTATAAGTTTATAACAACCAGAGATAAGTCATCAACCATCAACACTTTAAATTCTGTACTCAATTCAACATCGTATAATCAACTAATCACTAGCAGTATGCAGTCTAAGTGCAAGTTCAAGACATAAACTAAAATATGAACTGTCCATCGCTATGGCTAACTCTGAGCTTCACACTGATTAGAACCTCCCTCTAAAGTCGTACACAACAACCATAATCCATCAAATACGAGAACACTAGTCTTTAAATACCACAGGTACAACTCTTCAATAATTATTTTTTATTACAAGTAAAGTAAATTTCATTAAAGGCGCTTAAGAGGGGAGTGCTCCCAAGAACAAAAGATGCCCACAATGACACTATAATTTCAAACTTTCCACAAAATCCAAAAGAATATCCATAGATGTACGATTCGGCCCACTTACTCAATAAAAAGAGGAGAAAGTATGTTAAATTTGAGAGACCAAATATGGGATTACTCGTCCTCAAAGTATCTTTTATTCCTCTCATGCCACAAAACCCACCATAGACAAAAGGGAGTGGCCCTCCAAATGTCTCTTACTCGGCTATCCACTGAACACCCTTTCCAAGCCTCTAACATATCAACCGTGGATCCTGAAGCAACCCAATGCACACCAAAAGCAACCAAGAACATAGACGATACATCCCTTGCCACGGGGTAGTGCAACAAAAGATGGTTCACAGATTCTCCCGACTTCTTACACATGTAACACCAATTCACCATGATTTAAATTCTCTTTCTTAGGTTGTCGAGAGTGAGGATGCTACCAAGAGCAACAAACCAAGTGAAGAAAGCCACCTTTAAAGGGGCTTTAGTCCTCCTAAGAGCTTTCCAAGGGAAAGTGGAACCTAGATAATCCATAAGGCTTTGGTAAAAGGACCTGACCTCAAAGACCCCACTCGAGTTGCCCACCCACACCATCTCGTCCATACCCACGCCCGCCGCCACCTAGCTATAGATCAAACCAAGGAAGTCTATGACCTCCAAAAGCTCTCAATCATGGAACTCTCTACGAAACTGTACATCCCAAGTCAATAATGGTCAGCAACCAAAGCATGCTTGTTCACAGAAATTCTGAAAAGTTGGGGTAGTCTATGAGCTATAACAAAGTCCCCACACCAATGGTCCTCCCAAAAGCTGACACGTCTCCCACTCCGAACTGAATACGTTTGGAGAACTCATCCCATCCTTTTCGGATGCGTTTCCAAGAACCCAGAGCTGGCGATCTCACCTCCCTAGACTGCCATCCTTCATTTCATTCCCCACAATGGCATGCAATGACACGCCTCCAGTGCTTAGTTCTTTCACCCCCCAAATCTCTGTAGCCATTTACCCAACAATGCCTTAAACTGCTTCAGGTTTTGGATCCCCAAACCTCTCTTTTTAATAGGGGTGCAGACTCTCTCCCAGTTGACCAAGTGGTATTTGAATTCATCTCCCATGCCTGGCCACAAGAAATTCCTCTGCATCTGTTCGAGTCTTCGAACCATCGTCGTAGGCATTGGGAAGAGAGACATAAAATAAGTAGGAAGATTCGAAAGGGTGCTTTTCATGAGAGTAATCTTTCCCCCTTTTGAGAAGTATTGTTTCTTCCAACCTGTGAGCCTCCTCTGAAATCTATCTACAACCAGATTCCAAATCGAAACCCTCCTTGTTGATGCTCCCAAGGGTCGTCCCAAATATGAAATCGGGAAGAATCCGACACCACACCCCAAAATGTCGGCTAACTCATGAATGTGCTTCTCCCTATATTTATCTTCAGCCCAGAAACAACTTGAAAGCAAGCCAGAATGCATCTCAAATGTCTCAGCCGGTCAACACTAGCATTACAAAAAACAATGGTGTCATCCGCAAAGAGCAAGTGAGAAATGGCCAATTGATTGGGGTATATTCCCACCATAAAGCCTTGAATGAAGCCTGGCTCCTCCGCCCCTTTCATTAATCTACTAAAAGCCTCCATAACGATAATAAACAAGAAAGGTGAGAGTGGATCTCCCTAGCGTAATCCTCTAGAGCTAGCAAAGAACCCCACTGTTCACTAGGACAGAAAGCGTGCAGTCAAAATACAATGATAAATCCATGTCCTCCATTAGTGCCCAAGCCCCATCATCTCCAACAAATACATCAAGAAATTCCAACAAACATGGTTATATGCTTTTTCGATGTCCAATTTGCACACAATCCCCAGATCTCCGCTTCTGGATCTACCCTCGATGCACTCACTAACAATTAGCACCGAATCCATACTTTGGCGCCCACCAACAAAAGCATTTTGAGACTCCAAGATCACTCCATCCAAAACCCTCCTGAGACGAATGGCCAAGGCTTTTGCAATAATCTTGTACATGGAGTTAATCAAGCTAATGGGTCTGAAATCCTTGGGCCTCAATCCCTCAGAAAAGAAAGCACCAATGGCTCCCATCACCTGTGTCTTCACCACCTCCCAATTCTGTTTGAAGAAAGCTATCATGAACCCATCCGACCAGGTGCTTTGTCCCCACAACTCCTCA